GAGTCTAGTCTGTCAGCTGAATTTGACAAATAACAGATGAAGCAATCTTTGTATCATTTTGTGTACTAATAGCATTAATTGTTAGATTTTATGATAAAGACAGTTTTTATTACTTTGCTATTATTTATTTAAATTTGTGCATGCAGCAAGTTGTTACAATGTAACACATTATAATAACAGAACTATGACATTGGTAGGACTTCAGTTGTAAATCTAATAGCTTAGGCCTGTGCTGCCTCTTTGGTTGGAATGATAAGGGTGGTATCTAATGAATACATTGTAACACATTCTAATAGCTATGACATTGGTAGGACTTCAGTTGTAAATCTAATAGCTTAGGCCTGTGCTGCCTCTTGCTTGATATGATAAGGGTGGTATCTAATGAATACATTGTAACACATTCTAATAGCTATGACATTGGTAGGACTTCAGTTGTAAATCTAATAGCTTAGGCCTGTGCTGCCTCTTGCTTGATATGATAGGGTGGTATCTAATGAATACATTGTAACACATTCTAATAGCTATGACATTGGTAGGACTTCAGTTGTAAATCTAATAGCTTAGGCCTGTGCTACCTCTTGCTTGGAATGATAAGGGTGGTATCTAATGAATACATTGTAACACATTCTAATAGCTATGACATTGGTAGGACTTCAGTTGTAAATCTAATAGCTTAGGCCTGTGCTGCCTCTTGCTTGATATGATAAGGGTGGTATCTAATGAATACATTGTAACACATTCTAATAGCTATGACATTGGTAGGACTTCAGTTGTAAATCTAATAGCTTAGGCCTGTGCTACCTCTTGCTTGGAATGATAAGGGTGGTATCTAATGAATACATTGTAACACATTCTAATAGCTATGACATTGGTAGGACTTCAGTTGTAAATCTAATAGCTTAGGCCTGTGCTACCTCTTGCTTGATATGATAAGGGTGGTATCTAATGAATACATTGTAACACATTCTAATAGCTATGACATTGGTAGGACTTCAGTTGTAAATCTAATAGCTTAGGCCTGTGCTGCCTCTTGCTTGATATGATAAGGGTGGTATCTAATGAATACATTGTAACACATTCTAATAGCTATGACATTGGTAGGACTTCAGTTGTAAATCTAATAGCTTAGGCCTGTGCTGCCTCTTGCTTGATATGATAAGGGTGGTATCTAATGAATACATTGTAACATTCTAATAGCTATGACATTGGTAGGACTTCAGTTGTAAATCTAATAGCTTAGGCCTGTGCTACCTCTTGCTTGATATGATAAGGGTGGTATCTAATGAATACATTGTAACACATTCTAATAGCTATGACATTGGTAGGACTTCAGTTGTAAATCTAATAGCTTAGGCCTGTGCTACCTCTTGCTTGGAATGATAAGGGTGGTATCTAATGAATACATTGTAACACATTCTAATAGCTATGACATTGGTAGGACTTCAGTTGTAAATCTAATAGCTTAGGCCTGTGCTACCTCTTGCTTGGAATGATAAGGGTGGTATCTAATGAATACATAGTCTAAGTCTTGCTAATGTCATACTGGGTATCTAGTTCCTTACTTTATATTTGCAACAATATTA